GGGATTAACTTTAAAACATGACATAAAGCTAAAAAAGCCAATTTTTCACAATTCTCCCCCTTTAATGCATGTTGTGCTCGGTGTTTAGATCACTGATTGCTCTGGGAAAACAATGAGTAGGTACTATAAATAGTATTTGGTGTAATGCGGCATGATTTCAGTCTATGATTATATGTGTTTTTTACACTTTTAAATGAATGTTACCTTGTATATGTCTGTGAAAGAGCAGCTGCAACATGTCCAGACATGTGGTGAGCGTGCAGCCAAAGAACCGGGTCAGAGAGGCCGGAGCCTGGAGCACCGGACTGTGTGAGTGCTACAAAGACATCGGAGACTGTGAGTGAACAACATGAAACCAGTGGGAATGCTGGGATGTGTGAGGGGACTCAGCGGTGTGTGTGTGTGTGTGTGTGTGTGTGTGCAGGCTGCCTGGCCTGCTGCTGCCTCCCGCTGTTTACCTGTAAGGTAACGAGAGCGGCCGGCGCCTGTCCCTGCCTGCCTCTGCTGGACTGCATCAGCTGCGTTCCTCCGGCCTCTCTGGCCATGAGGGCTTCGGTCAGGGAACGCTACGGCATAAAGGTACTCACAGAAAAACACATCTTACAACAATTTAAACTTTTATAAACTAACATCTACGACAGCGAATTAGGACCATTGTAGATAGAAAAGCAAAAGGAACAGATTTCTGCCAAAAAACATAAATACTTGAAAATTTCAAAGTTTGAACAGTTGAAAATGGCCTAGAAAAAAATCTCTGAAATTTTGAGATTGATCTCAGAAATTTTCTAGAAAGCACTTGAAAATGTTAAAGTTTATGATTTTCTACAAAAGAATCTCAGATTTTGAGATTATTTCCGGAATTTTCATACAAAAAAAGAACAAGAAACTTTCTGAGATTGAAAAGTCCAAAATTTGCTAGAAGAACTTGGAAATTTTCTACCAAAAAGAGAATATTTCTGATTTTGAAGTCAAATATGTCCTAGAAAAACTTAGAAATTTTGAAATCAATCTCAGAAATTTTCTACAAAAACTTTGAAAATGTCAAAGGCTGAAAAGTTGAAAATTTGTTAGAAGAAAAAAAAACTGAGAAATGTTGAGAATAATCTCAGAATTTTCTAGGAAATACAAGGACATTTCAGTGAAAAATTTATAAGAAAAAACTAAAATTTTCAGAATGATCTAAAAAGCTTTTACATTGTCAAAAATTTTCTAGAAAAAAACTTGAACATTTTAAAGCTTAAAAAGTTGAAAAATTGGTAGAAAAAAATCTGGAATATTGAATTTTATATCAGTTTCTAGAGAAAACAAGAACATTTCAGAGTTTCAAAAACTTAAAGTTTGATCTAATTTTGAGATTAATCTCTGAAATTTTCTACAAAAAAAAAAAAACTTTTCAAAGATGAAATTTTCCAAGAAAAAACTTAGATATTTTGAGGAAAAAAGTAATGAAAGCACAAATATCGTAAAAATTCCTTACAAATATTTCTAAATTAGCACCACAAAATCTGTGATTTTGATTGCAAAAAGCAAAAAAAGACAATCATTAAATCCAGAAGAGATTGATCTGTGTGAAAAGATTTTTTAACATTTTTTAAGTTTAATGAAGACTAATTGAATGCTGAAACAAACAGCTGTTTACTGATATTTTTGACAGTTTAAACGGTTTTCTCAACACATTCTGGCACAACCGGCCCTTTAAGAACATTCATGTTTTTGATGATCCAAAATGAAAATGAGTTTGACACCCCTGGGGAAGAGAATCCAGAAAGTTTATCAAGGAAGAGTAGCAATTATCGTCAGACGAAATCCACTTTATATTAAAACAGCTTGCCGTATAGTCCATTCAGCTTTCTTCCAGTAAAATCCAATTAGAGATATCTTAATTTACTAACATGTGTAGTCATAAATGATCAAGAAACATGATCTGGAAACATCTGGAAACATGTACGTGCGGTAACACTGATTTTATGCCAAAACGGCCTGCCATAATGCGTGACCAGAGATGATAGCCATCAGCTCTCCATGCAGATGCTTGACATGCAAATAGCAAAAAGCTCGTCAACGGCGCCGGATCCGTGCTGCAGAAACGCAGCGAGACATTTTTTCGTTTTTATTTTCTGGGAAAGTGAGGAGGACAGATAAGGCTGAAAGTGTTCGCAGGCTGGAGCGCTGCCACGAGAGAAGGAGGCTGGAAATGTTGGCTCCTCCGAGGGCGGAGTGGGCCGACGCTGCCGAGGTGCCAGGACTTCTTCTGAAAACGGGTCCAAACCTGTAGGTTGTTTGTTTTGTAAAGCAGCAGTTTTCCCACCAGAGGAGAGAAGGATGAAGCCATCACGGCGCGGATCCTGTGAACAAAGCAACGAGAAGCAACAGATTTATATCGCTGCTTGTTTTTGAGCAACATTATCAGTAACAGTAGAGGTTCATTTAGCTCTGGTATTCAGAATATGCAGAGCTGGATGTTTCATTTCCTCAGTTACATTTGCTTTTGTGTACTTTTAGGAGTATTTTTTATGTTTGAGTAATTTTATTATGAAGTATTTCTACCTTTATTTGAGTAAAATTTCTGGATTTTCTTCCCACTGAATGAAAAACAAACGTTTTAACCAAAAAATCACCAGACTCAGACACACACCTGCAGTTTCTGCTAAAGTTTCATAAGTTTATTATTAAAAAAACTGATTTGGAAACATTTTATTTTGAATGATTTTGTTATTTTTGTTACTTATATGAATTATTACATTTTGATCCTTAAAGTACCAAATTTTAAATTTAAATGTATAGTTTGTTTCATCTGATGTGGTAATTTTTAAATATTAAATGACTGATGATTTGATCAATTGCTCAGTACTTTTTACCAAATACTTTTTACTCTTACTTTAGTAATTTAATTCTGAAGTATTTATACTCTTGTGTAAATGTGTGGATTTTCTACCCACTGAATAAAAAACAAACATATTTTAACCAAAAATTCACCAGACACAGTTGAATTATTGCCATTTTGGTCCTTAAATGACTCAAACTTCCACTTAACTTTAGAATTTGGTCATTTAAATATCAAATTATTGGTAATTTAGCTGTGTAGCTATCTTGATGTCAGCAAACTGGATTTACTAAAGTTTTAAATGAACAGAAATGGAGGCTGATATAAAGATGAGGTCCTTCGATGGTCGCTCATAACGTTGATCCAACATGGCCGCCTTATTTTCTTCACTTTTTTTAGACGAAGTGAAGCAGTTGCCTTTAAATCATTGGACCTGTTGGTGTGTTAGTGGGTGGTGAAATTATTCTGGGTGTTCATGTCACCTCCCACATGAAATCACAGCGAGGGTCGAGCTTTTACATAACGCTGGGAGTTTGTCACATTCTGTGGACGTCCTTCATGTGGACCAGCGTGTCCACAAGGGAAGGGTAGACACGGGGAGGAGAAGAAGGAGGAGAAGAAGGAGGAGAAGAAGGAGGAGAAGAAGTGTCATGGTGGAGGAGAGAAGTGACTAAAAGAGGCTCAGCAGGTGGAGAGAGACGATCATGAAGGAGAGAAAGAGAAAAAATTCAGCTTCATCCAATCAGCCGCCAGAATTTAGATCAATTTAAGACACTTTTCCATCTGTCCGTCCATCCATCCGTCCATCCATCCATCAGACTGGTGGTGTTTGGTCACACAGTGAACCCAACGTTCTCATTTCACCTCACCAGTTGCCCCAGGACAGAGTAACAGTGTGCAGATAATAACCAAATACTGGAGTACAGGCAGCATCCGTGCAGGCAGCATCCGTGCTGCCTGTACGGATGCTGCTGCTACACGCTATCTTCCCTCACAAAGCACCTGAGGACGAGTTAGAGGCACGTCAACGTTGAGCACTGCTTAGTAGTCACCATGTAACTAACTGCAGCCACATCGTTTTATTTAGCTTAATCATTAAAGTCGGCCTATTGTGCTTCCTTGAACAGGTGAGGATAGATCTGTGGTCTATA